GGGGAATTTGTGAGAGCGGCTTCGTCATAGTTTGCTAGCAGGCATTAAACCACGACAGGTGTGTGCTGGTTCTTTGGCACGTGCACACCAGCAAAGAGCCAGCAGAACATGGTCCCCGGCTGCTGCAAGAGCTCTGTCGTGAGCTCGGTGTTTCCCAGTCGCACTGTTGAATGCCCAAGGACACCTTTTCCTTGGAAAGCAAAAAATTCTGATACTATTTAGGTGGTATGATGTGGCTTTTGTTCCCTTCAAAAGGACTGCTTCATGTTGATTTGTAGAATGCTAAAGGTTGTCTCTAAGTCTTTTCTGAAAGCTGTATAAACATCGGAAGAAAAAGTGCTAGTGTGGAGAGGGCGCAATAACCCCCGGTCGGTTAGTGTGTGCCACCTGCAGTCTGCGGCCAAACTTGGGGGGTCCTCTTCCCTAGAAAAGGGGAAGCCTGCAGACAGCACGCAGAATTCCCACTGTCATGGCAAGGAATACGTGCAGCTTTCATCTGCAGGACTTGTTTCCCCTACCTAACTGATTCTCCTCCCCTTTGTTATTCTGTCTGAACTCCAACTCACCCCGTTTTTATTTCCCTACTTTCTCACCCCATGCCATTTTTTGATCTCTTTCTACTAGAAAACACCACCAGTGTTTCCAGTCAAGGTTTCTAAACCTATTATTTGCAAATTATGGTGAAAATAACTAAGCCAAGTTTGCCTACCTTTCATGTGTGTACCTCAGAACAAGAAGCTTCCTTTTCCAGATCCTATCAGCCTGGCAGAGCCGTATCCTGTCCTTTTCTTTTGCAGTTCAACAGGGGCATTGTTCTAGTAAAAAATACCAGTCGCCCTTGCCAGGACTTCTCCTTTGCAAAATGCAGCCATTAAGTAAAGTGTTACTGTTCCAAATTATTTCAGGGTTTGTTCCACAAGAGTTGCTTGGTCAAAGGTTGTAAGAGGATTAGAAATTATTTCTAATCTCTGGCATTGACACAAGTCCTCCCAGACCTGAAATACTAAACTGGACAGAGGCTGCCAGAGGGACGAGCTTGTCCAAGACTCGAGAAGGCCTTAAAAAAGGCCCTGGTCCGGATCAGAATTTTATGCTCTCTTTCGCTTCTCTAAAACATTGGGTGGCTTGAATATATAGAATTAACATGACCTACATGCTGCTGTGGGTTCAGTGATTTTGTCTCAGTTTGCCAGGGAGAGTCCCAGGAGGTTTTTGCGTGTTGTTGTTGTGCTGCTGTTTAATCCGTCTTTTAGAGAAAACATTAAAAACCCCATCAAATAGAAAATTCTGTGTGTTTTCTTGGATATGACTTGGCTTTAGTTTCAAGCATTTCCTACAGTGAATTATTTTGAGGTTTCAAACGGACATTATGGGGAAACTTCTTGTTTGTTTTCACATTCTTACTTAACTGTTCAAAATTCAGTAACTGGATTATTTACAGTTGTTTCAGTTTGGATTGGCTATACATATATTGTATATACCTAGTAATAGGAAAGCAGAAATACGTGTAAGGTAGTGAGAGTTTGTTGTTCATTATTCCCTTTAGTGAGAGTTCAGGTGTAAAAATCATCACAAAAACCACTCTCTGGCATGCAATTGAGAGCTGAATGTAAGAAGGAAGAGGTGTATTGGAGACAGCTGTGATTAGTTCTCCAATTTTCTAATATTAAATCCATTAGGTACTTACTGTCTCAGCTAATGAAGAGATGGTCATGAATCAGCAGGGAGGACTGGTGAGCAGTCACTTTCATGTTGGGGGTTGGAACTGGATGATCTTTAAGGTCCCTTCCAACCCAAACCATTCTGTGATTCTGTGTTACCCCGCTTCTAGGGAAGGTCCTTCGCAAGGAGCGGGGAGTTTAACGTGTTCCAGTGCAAGGTGAATGTGGAGCCGTGTTGTGGACAAAGCAGATGGGATGGGGGCATGTTTATTCCAGGAACCGATGGGTAGGCAGCGACAGCAGCAGTCCGTGAGTGCGATGCAGCTGAAGTGATTGACGGGGGCTGCGCGGAACACCTCACCAGGTCATTAAAAAACGGCCTCTTCAGGTGATCTACCCACCGCAGCAAAGGCGTCTTGAATGCGTTGGCTGCTCGGCTCGCCTGTTATTCTTCATCTGTCATCTGTCTTCACGTGCTGCTAGCATGCCGTTACCTTGAGGAGACGTCACTGTGAATAACGGATGCCTGGCTGTTATTGATTGAAAGTGGCTGTTAGGCAGTGCTTGTCGGCTTTTTTGGTTGTTGAAATAGTTTAAAAAATGGAAATGCCATGGGAAATTGTACTGCGTTCCTGTGTCCACGTAGCAGAATATGGTATGTCCTTCACAGCACAATCATGGAATGGTTTGGGTTGGAAGAGACCTTAAAGATCATCCAGGTCCAACCCCCCTTCCACTAAGACCAGGTTGCTCCAAGCCTCATCCAGCCTGGCCTTGGACACTTCCAGGGATGAGGCATCCACAATGAAATATGATTGTGCCTAATTCCAATTTGTATGGCATTCCCTTTAATGATGTCTATTTAAGACATCCATTAAAGGCCCTTAATGTTAATTAATTGGACTATGCCAATAAAGTTTTATTAGCTTCCCCCTATTAATTTAATATTATAGGCATTTAACAGATGTCTTAATTAGGTGCTACACTGAAGGCTATGAGCAAAACTAAAATTAGGTCATTGTCCTGAAAGGAAAGTTTCTGCTATGATTTATGCTTTCTGCCACTTTGTTTTTCCTTACGACGTCTCACAGGAAACCAAGGGATTTAATTTCGGAGAACACAGAGTAATGGGTAGTAGGTGGAATAACAGCTTTAACACATCTTGTTCTTGCTTCACAGACATGAATTCACTGAAAATAGCTTCTACTCTGTGGCACTTTTCAAGTGTCAAAATGCTTTCCCAGTGTTTGTTTCTCCTGGTTTCCCACTGGTGTGAAATGGTTGTTTCCCTGTACAAAATGCACATCTAGCAAAAATACCGTCTGTTTTCCCAATCTCAGTACTTTGTGTAATTGTAACAAAGACTTACTTCCAGACTTCAGAGGGGCAGACAAGCAGTCTGTTGTTCCTGAAAAGCAGCATTGCCCGTGCTGTGATTTCAGCTGATCAGTTTGGCTCAGTGATGCTCAATCTGGTGTGTGTCCAAGCAATTATGCCAGGGAGGTGCAGCTCTCCTGTAACCTTTTCCAGCATTGGATTCAGACAGGAAGTAGGAGCTTTGGAGGCCAGCTGCCTGGCACAGTTAGTGTTTTCATAGGAGCGGGGAGGGTTGGAGGTGGTGATGCTCTTTGGCTTTCTCGAGGCAGATGAACGCCGTGTGTGCTCTGCAGCGCAGCTCAGAGCTCTAGCTGGAGCCGTCTCCTAGCCCTAGTACTTCAGTGTGTAGTGTATGTGAGAGAACAGCTCTGTTCTCTTTAAAGACATGACCCCAGTTGGCTACAAACACTTCAGCGGTGGCAGGGAAAAACTCCTCTTCCTAGATACAGGTCCTCCATTTGATCCTGAAATGGACTTCATAATTTAAACGGAAAGCCTCTGAATGCTACCTTTATAATACAAACACCACAGAGGCTCTTTTGTACTAGAAAAATGTGAAGTGATCTAAGTACAGGGGTCACTGCCACCTCCCAAACAAGTCAAAGCTGCCTAGCTGTTGCGAGATTAACCCGGGCAGTCAAAAAAGGATCCTGCAAGCGTAAAAACGTTATGGAAAAAGGAGATAAAGGGGCTGAGGACACGTGGAGCACATGCGCTCCCAGCCGAACGCCTCACCATGGGTGCAAGCATGGGGTCTCCGTTAACAACCACTGTTGCAGACTGCTGTGAAAAGCCACTATTTATAGAAGGTTCTTCCCAAGTGGTGCTGTATTCCGGGTGGTTGGTGATTTACACTATAAAACTACCTGACTTCCTGTGTTCCACTGACGTAGTGCTCACAAACAAATGATATAAACTGAGTGCTGTCAACACTAGCCTTTTCTAAAATGGTGTAACACGTATATTTTAATAAGAATAAAGGTATTTTTTAAAGTGTAGGACATGGACACCATGTCTAAATATATACAGAAATAGACTAAACCTCTATGAATAGCGATTAAATATTCATAAAGCAATTTTTTTGCTTATTTAAATACATGATAGAATGGGTATCTTTTCCATCTTTGAATTTCTAGCTTTAAGTGCTTCCCTCTTACGTGATGTGTTGTGTCCCCTGCACTGTGACACAACAATATATATTTCCTGGAATAGACATATAGGAGTTAATCTTAAAATAGCACATTACTGGTAAGCAAACAGCTTGCAGGGGTGCAGTACATGTTTAGTATGTTTACATTTTCATGCGTACACCTGTTAGCTTGCAGCTACAGGGAAGGAGATAGGGTAAAATTATCAGTTGAAACACCTTGCATGTGCTTGCACCAGGCAAAGATGTTGATGCTGGCCCAGGAACAACAATTGCAGAAGAGCAGTTGTCACCACCTACAGTCTCTTAGGCGTAATAGTCAGATAAAGCCCAATTTATACAGAAAGCAACAATAACATTTTATGGGTTACAAGATACAGTTTTCATTGTGCAATTTTAGGATTATAAATTGAAGCAGAAGTTGGGTGATCAATACTGATCATAAAAGCCAGAGTGCTATATACAAATAACAAAACAGATCCAACACGCTCCAGCAATCTGTGGGGCTGCTTTAGCAACAGCTACTCGTCATTCTTCAGTAAGAAGAAGTACTTCAGAAATATTTTACGTAGCCATTCCATCTTCCATCTGCCAGAAAGCCTGGTCTTTGAACTGCAGGAACCAGCAGACATTCTACTGATACTTCTGATTTTCCATGAAATCATAGGTCAATAGTTCCTTTCAACTTGAACTTTTTTGCAGATCGCTCACTTGCTCTGAGCTGGAACTTGCTTCCATAGATGTAGGAAATGAACCCATCGATCTCCAGGCTAAATACGTTGTTAACTTTGGGAACAACTGAAAATGCAAAAGGAAAGAAATTAGCAGATGTCGACTAATGCAAACCCGTTATGAAAAGACACGGACGTACAAGGGGATATTATTCATGTGTAGACTTGAGGGTTGCCACACTTCAAGGTTTTTATGCTTTAGCAAGAGAAGAAAAAATAACCCAAACTTCTAAATTTTAAGCTGGAATTACTAAAGCTAGTCCTCTTTCAGGGGCACGCAGGAAGTGTGGCAGAGAACATCTAATGTCAATCAGCTGAGTGAGCCATATGCATAATCATGGTGGATTCATTGGAAATGTGCTTTCTAATTGGTCATTTCTAATGAGATACTTTGTCAGTAAGATTTTGGGCTGTTGTGTGGTCAGTGAAGACACGGACTTCTGCCACTCTGTGCCAAGAACTAAAAGCACTGATACAGAACAGCGTACTCGGACGTGTAAGATGAAGTGTGTTTAAGAAATGTGATTATTCAAATTGTGAAAAGCACTGAAAAAAAGACTCTTATACCTTTTAATTTGTCCTCTGTAGTGATAATCTTGAAGACATGTTTAAATTCCTGTAGAATGATTCCTGTTATCCCAACGTAAGAGGGGCACTTTGACTTTGTGACTGAAAGAACAGAAGTAAGCACGCAATGTTAGAAAGTTTCGGGTGCACGAAGTTTCTTTGCTCTGCTACAGCTGCCTTGTGACTTTAAAAACTGCTTAGTAATATTCTGAAATAATGCTGGAGTACCTGCGCTGAATCTTTGCAACTAACAGCAGGATTTTCAAGGGCTGTTGCAAAGTCATTAGCACTGGTAAGCAGAGGAAGACCCCAGCAGCAAATGACGTCAACCACGCGATTCTAGAGTTGATGACGCTGAAAGCAATTTGCTAATAAGCACCTGCAATAGCGCAGTGTCTGCTGAACGTCAGAGGGCTTTGCGAAAGGAAACAATGGGAGTACCTGTAACAACGGCTCCATGGAGGTCAGCTTTCAGCAGCTTGCCCTGAACCATATGGGGTTGCCTTGAAGGAAGAGGGGAAAGAAATTTATATGGCAAGTTAGGTTTCCAGAACGTGACCGTCACTCCTGAAGTCACAGCCAGAGCTTACAGAAACTATCCTTATCAGGTAACGTGATGTTTCAAGCAGTAACTCGGTAAACCTGGAAACGTCTCCTAAATCAAACCCACGGTGTTTTAAAATCTCTCCACTTACGTATCCGGTTTAAGTCCATGGCAGAGGTCTCGGATATACTGTTTCCAGAGTTCATGTAGTGGGAGAAAGATTGCGTATCTGCAAGAAAATATTATACAAGAACTTAATTCCGAAAAAATCTGTGGGCTGGTTACTGAAGTAAGCCCTATCTACATAAGAGTTAAGACTAGTGTTTGTAATCTGCTCTCGTAACTTCACCTCTGAGGTAGCCTGCTCCAAGCAGCAGCTTGGCTTTCTAGCAAAGCACAAGGATGCTGCTCTCCACCAACCCAAACCAGTGACGTCTTTCAGCGGGTGAAGAGATCTCTACTCTGATCTCCCCACTTAGCCCCAGCAACAGCAGAGGCTTTATTCAACAGGTACTGGAGTGCTGTGTCCAGCTCTGGGGCCCTCAACATCAGAAGGATATCAGCCGGTTGGAGTGAGTCCAGAGGAGGCCCCGGAGATGCTCCGAGGGCGGGAGCCCCTCTGCCATGGGGACAGGCTGGGAGAGTTGGGCTTGTTCAGCCTGGAGAAGAGAAGGCTCCGGGGAGACCTTATAGCACCTTCCAGTGCCTGAAGGGGCTACAAGGAAGCTGGGGGGGACTTTTTACAAGGGCCTGTAGTGACAGGACAAGGGGTAATGGGTACAAATTGAAAGTGGGGAGGTTTAGATTGGATATCAGGAAGAAGTTCTTCCCGCAGAGGGTGGGGAGGCACTGGAACAGGTTCCCAGAGAAGCTGTGGATGCCCCATCCTTGGAAGTGTTCAAGGCCAGGCTGGATGAGGCTTGGAGCAACCTGGTCTAGTGGAAGGTGTCCCTGCCCATGGCAGGGGCGTTGGAACTGGATGGGCTTTAAAGTCCCTTCCCACCCAAACCATTCAGTGATTCTATGTGTTAGAACCTGATGCAGAATTTTGCCTCTGCTCACGGGCAGTCTAAGTTTAAAAACTGCCATCAGAGGTGACTGTGTTTGGGTTGAATTTCACGTTTATATTTAGCTGTAGAAATGGAAAGAGAAAGCAACTCACAGAAATGAGTCTTCCAACGGTACAGACAAAGTAATTGTTTCCTCGTGCCAGAGTCTCAGCCCGACGTTACGTACCGCAGCATCACTGTCCGTGTGCTCCTGCTCTTGCACGCGTTGCGCAGTGCCGCGGGAAGCACGCTCAGAGAGGGCACTGAAGACCTTACCTTTGCTGTTCGGGCTCAATTTCAAAAAGGCGCATTTCTCGCCTTTGCTTGGCAGTAAAACCTTTTGTTTTCTTCCTCTTTTGCTTCGCCTTTTTTTTGGGATAATGCTCGAGAACCACAGCTTTCCGAGTCAGGACATCCTGGATGGCTTCATCTTTCTTTTTCGGCATGCTGCTCTTCAGGAAGGCATTGACAAACGCTCTGGCCTCTGCCGGCCCCTGCGGCTGGACGGAACAGAAAGGATGCTGTGAAACGCCGCGTTTAACCGAGCGCAGAGCGTGCTGCTGCCCTTCCGCCCGGCACGGCGCGCGCCAAGCATGGCGCCGCACGCAGCGTACG